ATTTCAAGTCTCGTTACATTTTTTTAGCAAATAATCTTAGTCTTCAAGTATAAATATCCTAAAACTATTCGGCGAACTAAACGTTTATATATTTTTCATTTAAAAAAGTAGTAATACAGATAATGGTACTTCACAATTGTAGTTTTATACTTGTGTACAAAGAAGAATTGTGTCTATTCATTGTTTAGTCATATTATTGTAGATATTATATGATAAATTTTACAAAACAAACAATTGTGACCAAGATTTACTATGTTGCATTAATCAATAAATCAAGGTAAACCGTGACAATGAGAATAGCATATACAAGAATACGGATGAGGATTATATCAAGTGGGAGTGAAAGAGAGAGTAAGGATTATTTCTGAGATGATATAACACTCTACTTTTCAAATGAATGAGTTATTTTTCTCAGTACAATCCCTCTTTATTTAGACAAACTAGGGTATTACATAGGTACAAATAAAACTATTAAATGACAACTAAATTTTAACGGAAAATATAATAGAATTTAAATGAATAAAAATATTTGAAATATTTTGTTAAAAACCAAATAATAAACCAGTACCAGCAAAATAAATGAACGTTTGAACCAAGCTATGCTACGTTTGAGTACTGGTTTGTACACCAACTCTCGGATTCAAGTTAATCTAACTGATGAGTCTGGAATAGAATTAAACATGCCTTAAGTATTTTATTGCTAGCCACTATTCCTTTTTTTCTCTTTCCAGATTTATTTCACTGGGTTATACTCTTTGAATAATATCTTCAAACCCTAATCATTCCGATAACTGATTATACTTTTACTACCTCTACCATCATAGGATTTGAATCGACAATTGTATCTGTGTGCTAATAAGGTATGGCAACATGGACTGATGTACGTACGTACGAAGTTCTACGTTGTTACTGACTGACTGACTGGCTGTCACGTCGATTTATAACATTAATCTACTCTTGTAAACGTAATTGCAATAAACTGTTCACAAAAAAATGAAACCACTATTCCAACACTTGTCTCTTATTAATAGTATGAAAAATAAGGACTTGACACACATAAAACTGATCACCACTCAGTGATCAATCAATTGTGATTACATCTCAGTCCTACAAGAGGTCGGTCACGGCCCCGATAGCTCAATGGTAACGTCGCTGACTGTGAAGCTGGGTGACACGGGGAGCACCAGTCCCCTTAAGATAACAGGTACACCTTGCTGACGAGTGTCAAGTAGCACAAAACTTATATATAAGATTTCTTGTTGACTACCTCCAACCACCATCTAATCTTAAACTTTAAATTAAATAAATCTTGTTTCAGTATTGATTAATTTTCATTACATAACCATTTAGAATAAGATCAATTATTTTAAAAATTTATCAAAGTTTTGATTTTGTTTCACTCGATTCAACAGTGTTCAATTCACTTTTCTTTTTATTTCTTCTTCATAAACTTCCTTTTATATCGATTTATTGTTTGTTTGTCTTTTCTCATTACTATCATTTATCATATAAACAATTTATCAACTTTAAAAAAAGTAAATATTCAACGGATTATATAATGTGAAAAGTAAATAAATACCAATAAACTTATATTTCAATTTATCATGAACAAATAAACAATGACTATTTATATTTGAGATTAACGAATTTAAAAAAAACAACCAAATAAACATGATTATCAATATTGAGTTATAGAGATTATAAAGTTTTTTAATTCAGATCATGAACCAATTGATGCTAGATCATCATTGAAAATCTGAAAGTACTGAATAGTTATTTCATTTTCTTGTAGAAGTCATCAACAGTACACATCGACGATCCTGCTCACAGGATTCTGGTTTTCAATGGTTCATGATCTCAACCGAAAACATTATTAAATATATTGAAGGAGTTATTATAAAATTTCCAATGAAAAATTTCTTCTATATTTATAAACCCCTATCATTTTTTCACTTTGTTAACAGTATACATAAAATCAAGCTATATAACTATACTATTGTATTATATCTAACAATCCATTCTATATCTATTCGTAAAGGAAGTTCAAGTGACTACTTCAAAGAAGCTTGATTTATTTTTTTCATTAAATTGATATTAAACCGATAAGTTATTGACAAAAATCTCTGGACAGAGTTTTCGTGCTACTTATCATTAGTTAGTGAAGTATACCTGTAATTTCAAGGAAATAGATGCTCCTGTCTGCTCGTTAGAAAATTAGATTCTAGAATAAATGTAGAACTAAAGAGTTATTTAGCTCAAACAAGTCTACAATGATTCTCAAATTCGTATCAGTCTATGGTGAAAAAAACCTGCGAAATAAATTATTAACCAACTAAATACCAAAGTAGTACGTAACATTATTCAGAAATAGTATATCTGGCAGCAGAAGATTAAGAAGATCGAATTGAAAATAACAGGAATGTAAACAGACGTTAATTGTGATAAAAACGGAGGAACGGTGAAGTTCGCAAGAAGACAACTGATGGAAGGTGTACAAATGTCATATTTAATGTATGCTTTTCATATTTTGCGTAGACAATGTATGATTTCACATAAACAATAAATCGGTTATCTTCATCTGAGCTCTTTATCCACTATATATTGGGATAAATAGATGACACTGCTATAATATACATATATATATATATATATATATATATATATATATATATATATATATTGTAGCAGTGAGATCTACTTATCCCAGTAGCTTATGCAATATATGAACCTTATAACTGGAGACATAATCTTTGCTATTGAATATGATTTTATGTTTTAATCTTTTATTCTATATTTCTTCCTTGATAAAGTTTCAAATATCTTCACCTTGTAAACTTATTAAGAATAAAACATCCATCATAAATATGACCCATCATTTAATTACAATGCAACTATATATTGATATTTGTCAAAAAATGATTTCAACTATTGAAATTACCAATTCTCCACAAAACCCATTCTAGCAAAAAATAATTGACAAACGGAGATGTTAGGATCTATCCAAATAAATTAGAATTACAGTATAAATTATTAACAAACATAAGAATATACAAGCTGAAAATAATAAGCGACAAATTCTTTAAAATTAAATTGTCCTTTCTTTTTTTTGGTTAAAGTTTCATCATATTGAAATCTTTTGTCAAACTTGATATGTTTAGTAATAACAAAGTGTATCTTCAGTTTACTTGACAATTCTATATCTATTTCTATGAATATTCGTGAATGTTAGAACGAATAGTATGATAAAAATTGTACGTCGATTATAGAAAAGTTACTATATGTGAAAATTATGTTTTGAAATAATCTTAACAATTAAAATTATAAATAGTTCAAGCATTTCATCTAGTTAACTTGTCCGAACTTTAGGGTAATAATCCAAATGAAATTTATCAAAGAAAAAAAAAATATATATATATATATATATATATATATATATATATAGCGTATCTGTTTATTTTTGCTGTCCTCACTTTTGACGACAGAATGAAATTGAAATACTATATTCACCAAAATCTATTTAAATGTTATATCTTTACAAATAAATGATTGGTTAAAAGTTACCGATTGCATCATTTTCATTAATCTGAACGTTTTTTTACAAAGTCATGTTGAGAGTATGCAGAAGAAATATATAATGACTGTTGTATGAAATACTTTAAGTTTTCTCCTGTTTGTTTAGCTTAAAATCATTATAATTATAGTTATTATTAATAATAAACAAAATCACTTGGAAGTTCTTTCTTATTTTTGGTACACTACTCAACATTTTAAAATTGGTTAATTATTTTGTTTGTTTTTTTTTTTTTTGTAATATAATTTGCATTTAATGATATCGAATTCATAATTAAGTTATTAGCGCAAAATTACTATTTATGGTTACGAGGATGAAATATACAAAAATTATGCAATTATAAGCAAAAATGAATGGTGATTAGCAGTGATATCCAAGACGCACGTTTCGTCCTTTTCAAGACTCGTTAGCTGAATATACCAGCATTTCAGAGTTGATGTTCACTCTGGGACTCAAACCTAATACCATTCGCTTTAAAAACCATCACGTTATCTACTTAGCTATTGAGTCCTGATAGTCACTAGCTTGTACAAAGGATTGGATTTTAAATTCAGTTAGTATTGTTTAGAACTGTAATTGATCAGTCTGAGATACATATACATTCAATTGATGAGTCCTGGATTCCATTACCAGTCACTATCTCTCTTTAATTACAATGCTTGTGGATTAAGACAATATCAAGACAATACGCACAGTTTGCACATATGTCAATAAGATTATTCGTTTGAATCTTTCCATTGATATTTAAAACTGTAATTGATCACTCTCTTTGCTTATAATGCTTGTAACTTAAAACAATATCAAGGCTATCCTCACAGGATGTCCATATACCAATTGTAGTCTTAATTACCAATGAAAAGACTTCAATAAATAATACAAAATAAATTATTATTAGAAGGGTTTTTGTGGAGATTGTAATAATTTCAATAGTTGAGATCATGAGTCAATTGAAGCTAGATCACCATGGAAAACCTGAATGCACTGGACGGCCATTTCGTTCTATTGTGAGACTCTTCAACAATGCGCATCCACCATTCCACCTTGCATGATTCGAACCTGAGATATATCGGTCTCACACGCCAACGCTTAACCTTTAAACTACTGAGCTGGCCGGCATCCGTCGCTATTATTGTCTAACTTCAATTAATTCACGAAATTGAGCCACACATCTGTCATTAGCATCAGTGAGTGACTATTTCATAACAGACCAGGTTGAACTCCACTGTTTACTGCTTCTCACTAGAACTCCATAAAATACCTCTTGATGCCAATTACTTGAGAGCATATGTTGTTTAATATTAAAAGGGGTTGTTTTGTGGATATTATAATAATTTCAACCGTTGAGATCGTGAGTCTAAATAAATTACGTAATTAATTGTCACAACAACAATAACAACACAGATAATTATTAATATCAAAATATACTTACTTGGAATACAATCACAAAATGATGCTATACAATTAATTGTAAAATATGGTAACCAACATATTGTAAATGAGCCTAATATTACACCTAATGTAATTGCTGCTTTATGTGCATTATATATTTGTTTTTCTGGATAATTCATTAATATTTGTGGACGTGTTATATTAATGTCATTATTATTATTATTATTAATATTAATATTATTATATGTATTCAATGATGAATTTCTTGATATAGTATATAATGGTAAACTATGTTTACGTCGTGTATTGATTGATTGATCTATTGTTGTATATGAATGATTTGTTAATTGTAATGATTTATTAATTGTATTTGTTATATAATCATTTTTACTTGTTATATTAATTAAACGTAATGAATAATTTATTTGTGTATTATTTAAATTTGTTGGAATTTTCAATGTATCCATTGATATTGTTATTGATTTATTTACAGGATAATTTAAATCAATATGATTTAAATTTAAAAATGTTTTACATTTTTTTAAAAAATTTGATGAATTATGATTATTATGATTATTAAACTTTTTATTTAATTTTAAATTATTTGAATAATTTTTAAAATTTGAAAATATTTTTAATCGATTAATATGTTGTTTTGTTAATAAAAATAAATATGTATATATTATAATCATTATTAATAATGGTATAATAAAACTAAATATTGTATTAGTTATAGTATAAAATATATTTACTTTATGTAGACATATAAAATTTTTTTGTATTTTATATATTGATAATAAATTTATTTGTTTGAATGGAATTTCTTTAATTGATGATTCAATTGTACAATTTTTATTTGTAAAATATGTATTTATTACATTATTATTATTATTATTATCATTATTAGTTGTTATACATTGCTTATAATTGATATTATTCCAATTTAATTGAATTGGTATAATTGTTATTAAAAATGATAAAAACCATATACTAATTAATATAAATAATAAATATTTTAATTTAATACAACGTGAATATTTTAATGGTGATTTAATATATATAAAACGATCAAATGCCATTATAACTAAATGTAATATAGTTACTGTACAAAATAATTTATCTAATGAAAAAAATAATTTAATTATTATATCATTAAAATATAATGGATTAATAAGATTATAAATTATATTAAATAACATAATTGTACTTGAATATATAATATTAGTAATAGATAATGATATAAAAAATATATTTGATTTATGCCTTAAATGTCTATCATTAAATGCTATAAAACATGCTAATGAATTACCAATAATTGTTAAAATTACAATTATTATTGGTATAATTATATTCCATTGAAATAAATCATAATAATAATAATGATAATAATAATAATAATGTAATGATTGTATCATTGAATTAGTATTTATTTGTATATTATTTATTTGATATGTTGATGGTAAATCATAAAATGTTTTTAATGATAAGAAACATGTTTGATTATTGATTAATTCAATAGAATTTAAATTGAATTGAATATTATCGTTCATTGAATATTTTTGTTTTTTTTTTTAAAATAGAATTGAATTAATTATTTATTTAATTATTTCATAATTATAAGATAATTTAATTCATTTATTTTATTTAATTATTAATTTATAGTAATTTATTAGAAGTAATCTTTTTTATTAAATTGTTAATTATTTATTTAAGTATGCAGAAATATTATGTTTATTTATTTGACTTTTTCTTTTTTTATCGAATTGAAATCTGATTGGTTGTTCATTGAATGAACCAATAAAATTTGAGAATAAATACAAAAAAGAGATTGAATGATATTTATTAAAATGGTGATTAAATATATATTATATTTGATGTAACATGAATTGTTTATTTTTTTTAACAAATTAAGTGATTCATTTATAGTTGAGATTATGAGTAAATTGTAGATAGATCACCATGAATAATCTGCTGAAGAGTCTTATAATAGGATGAAAAGGTCGTCCAATACTTCCAGGTTTTTCATGATGGTCTAGCTTTAATTGACTCATGATCTCAACTATTGAAATTATTATAATATCCATAAATAAACCCGTTCTGTTATTAATCAATATATGCTCACTAGTAACTGGCATCAAGAGGTATTTTTTGGAGTTCTAGTGAGAAACAGTGAACAGTGAAGTTGAACCGGGTCTGTTGTGAGATTGATTGAAGTTAAACATTAACACTGTTAAATGCCAGCCAGTTCAGTGGTCTACTGTTCAAACCCTAACACGCGAGACTGACAGGTCCTGGGTTTGAATCCCGCGAGGTGCAATCGTGAATGTGCACTTCTCTGAAGTCCCACGATAGGACGAAACGGCCGTCCAGTGCTTCCTGGTTTTTCATGGTGGTCTAGCTTCAATTGACTCATGATCTTAACTAATAAAATTACTATAATATCAACAAATAAAACCCTTCTGAGATTAATTTATAAGTTAGATTAATAGTATTTATGTAAGTATATTAGATGACATAATCATTACAAGATAATAATGAAACTAAGGGCATACACTAAACCACATTTAAATTATGTCTTAGTTTAAAATAAACAGTTTGTGAAGATTGTTGAATGCAATCGAGATAATAAAGCTATCTAACTTAGACAAATATTGAATTGGACAGTTGTTTCTTTTACAAATCTGGCTTTTAATAAAAGCATGTTCACAACTCCTCCATAGGGAATAGAACAGAAAATCATTAAGTCCCGTGGGGAGGATATATAACGATATAAATGTTGAACTTCAATCGATTCTTAATATTCCAGAACCATTCTTTTTGTTATTCGATGAGTATTTGGCTCTTATCAGATACTTTTAAATTGCACTGGTCAGATTGACTATCAATACAAGGCAGTTTATTGTGATTATTGTATGCTTGTGAACTTTATAAAACAACATTTTATTTATTTGAACCAAAGTCAGTAAAATAACGAGTTTCTTTGAATTTATTTTGTAGTACATGTAGTGTGATTAAAAATTAACTTTTATAGATCAAGTGAAATATCAAAACATCCTCTTAATTATTATCACTTTTCTTGTGATACAATTATATTTCATCGATAGTTAACAAATAATGAGCCATACAATTTACATTTCACTGATAAATAATTACGTCTTTTCATGATAGTTTAGAATATTAATTATGTCATTTATTTTAACTGTTACTACTTGTGCACTACGAGTGAATGCCACTATTAAGTTTCTTTAGTTAATCATCACTTCACATTCAGTTAGAACTATAGTGCATTTTTCTGTTAGTATAATACAAAAAATGTTATGAAGTGTCGTATGTGAATATACCTAGAGTATCATCGGTGAATTTAAATAATGTACTAAACATGGAGCTGATAGTTGAAACTTTAGTTACTAAAATTATTTCGTTTTTTTACTCATAACTAACCAATTGGTAACTTATTAAAAATGTATTCACACTGAAAGTTGACATAGATATAAAATAATAAGAAGCTATTGGCAAGACCAATTAATAAACATTGGCTTTCTGACAATCAGTAGTTTCTCTAAAATTATACATATATACATTAATAGTTAAATTTATAAGTCAATCCAAGCTACACCACCAGTGAAAACCGGAAATCAGTGGACATCCCTTTTTGTTATAGTATGAGACTAATCAGAGGTCAGCATTCACAACTCTGCATATGGGACTCGAACTCAGAACCTTCGATCATGCGCGTCAATATTTAACCTGTAGACCACTGAGCCAGCATCCGATAATGTTAATATCTAACTTCAATCAATCTATGATCTTGTGCAACCTTAAACTCATTGTCTGTGTTGAATAATTGTCTCACACCCGACATGGATTGGATACCACTTTTCACGACATTTTACTAGAACTCCATCTTGATGCTAGTCACTAATGAGCACATGATTATTATGAAAGTAGGGGATTCATGAGTCGACTTATGGATACAACTATTACAAATCCCCATTCTGATATAAATATTACTTTATTATTTATACTTTAACAAGTAGAAAAGAAGAAAAAGATAATTTTATCAACATCATTATGCTTACCTCTATTGTTCAGATTTTGATAAACCGATTATTTATATTCTAATTTAGATTATACGACATTTAATACATATTGTGCACTTGTGACTTTATTACGTTTTATTTTACTATAATAATAATAATCATTTGGTAATCTTATTTCGCATATTTTGAATTGCAAAACAAATTGCTTAATATAAATTTGGTTTCATTTTACGTTTTTATAGTAAAATGTCACATGGACAATAGGCAAAGAAAAGTCAGGTTATATATTAATAAAGCATTAATGTTGATAAAAATAACTATTTTTTATGAAAATGGATTATTGAAGTTAATAAAAAAACAACTAAAACTTATAATTCATAAAAAAAGACAAACAGAACAAACTATGCTTTGGCTACATAGTTATCATGTAATCTACCAATTCATTTGATGTAGATATGAAGGTACTTCTAATTTATAAGTAGATAAAGTTGAAAATAAATGATATTATTGTGTGTGCTACTGATATCGATAGATATAATTAGTATGTATCATCAATTAGAAGTGAAATGTCTAGTGACAGAAGATTAAGAAAATTAAAGAATAAAGAACGAGAACAGAGAGTGATTGGTGTGGAAACGAAGAAATAACAAAGTCTGAGACAATTGGTTGACATTTTGCAAATGAAGTATTTACTGTACCGTTCTCAGGTTTTGCTTGGAGATTTTGTAGTTTTGTGTTAAAATACAATTGGTTGTACCCATTGATGTTCTCGTTCACTACATTACATACTATGAAGTAACACAAAAACTATATGTGGTATGAATCATTCACTATTGAAATATTTTCTATCTAGAGAAGTGTACATAAACGCAAGTGGAGACAAACAATATATTTCAGTACGAAATTATGGAATTTCTTTGTAAAATATGAGAATCATACATTGAATACTTGCGAATTTTCATCATTTGTCCTTTACATTCTGTATGTTTCTTCTTATTCGCAATTCCTTTCTATTTCCGTTTCTGTTTTCTTCAAATCGAGCTTCATAGTCTTATGCTGCTTATATTTTCCTCTTCTAATTTGTGTTACATAATACTTATGTCTATCGACATAATTAAAACACACCACACTCGTCGCCACTTTAAACGGCCGCTCTTGGGGTTGTTCTGTTTGCCATTACACCTTCGCTGCAGTCTGTGACACGCCTTTTGTCAAAATTTTCAGTTTGTGGTGCACTGACCTTTATAGCTCCGTCAACCCACCGAGTCATTGAAATCCGATGTGCTCCAGTGACCTACTGAGCTATCTACACACGAGTTGCACTTAACAGCTACACGTCCGACTGCTTCTCTCCGTCGACAGCAACTGCCACGGCCAGCGCCACCCATTCAAGACACTCCACTCGACTTCACCTCCCCTCACCAGACCGCCCCAAATGGTAAATCGACACATTTTGAACGAATGAACATCACCTTTTACAAATGTTAGTGATTAATATCCACCTTCGAAATTCGTTTCTTTACAAAGGAAATAAATAATTCAACATCTTATGAATTTAAGTTTATTGGATTAGAAATAGATAGATCAAGCTTATGTACTTACCAAACAATTATTAAGTCTTGAACAAAATGTCAATTAATCACATTCCAATTTTGTTTATATTAGTAAGTTGTCATTAAAAGTTACCTTTAGTTAGTCCTTGATATTAAAAATACGAAGCTCAGTGAAGGGAGTTCTTTATAACTAATTTATTACCGAAATATACAATAAAATATATTAATTTTTTGAGGACATGTGAACAATGAATAAACATGATGATGTAATAGGAAGATTAAAAAATTTATATCTCTTTTGTCTAATAAGATCTTGATTCATTTAAACTTTAAAAACTTGTATGATATTTTCACAATGTAGGCAACAATAATAATTGTAAGCAAAGATAGATGGTGACTAGCAGTGGAATCCAGGACACACGTTTCGTCCTATTTTGTACTCGTCAGCTAGATGCACCTGCATCACAAAATTAATATTCACTCCGAGACTCGAAACCATTGTGTTCGTTTCCTACGCTTCAAACAAAATGAATATTAACTGCATTACAAAATTTTATGTACACTAAAAAATAGAACATGGAATAGAAAGCTTTCATTCTGTATTATGTGGTTATAGATGTTGATTATATAGCATAATGGAGAAGATTAGAAATGAGCTTTGTGTTTTATTAATCCATAACGTAATAATACCGCTAATTAGAGAACAGTGAATTATCGACCGGACCAATGAATCATAAAACGAGTACGAGCAGTCTAGAGTCCTTATCGGTGCTGCTTCCTGCCTAGCCCAGCCTGTTAATCCAGAACACCGATCTCAGCCTCTACGACATGAATCGTTTATTTCAAACATACTGCGTTTATATGCCAACCAAACAGACCACATCTTACCATAAAATAGGAAACATTATTTGTACAAGATCTAGCCACATGTGGCTGTAAATATGTTAGTTAAAAATTGATAGACTGGGCATAACTCAAGAACGGTAAATCGTATAATAATAGTCTATGAGTCAAAATAAAGCTTTTAATAATAAGAACATGAACATTTATAGTTTAGCTACTTAATAATTATACCGTATTTGTCCATAAATAGTTCTTAAAAGTTACCATTCATAATTCTCGTCAGAATATAATAAAACATATTCTGATTTTCCGTATCCGTTTTGCTCTATTAATCAGTTACAAATTCATATTCTGATGTAAATTTGAACCATTTCAATTTTAAAGTTTAAAGTAAGTTGAAGATTAGAATCAACTAGATAATTCTTTAAAATTTTCATTATACACAAATATTAGATCCCATCCCTTTATTCTGTTATTCCTTATATGGATGATATTAGTTTACCAGTTAGTGTATTATAGATAATAAATGATCCATGAGAAGCTCATTCAAATTTGTTTATTCTGACTTCACTAAAAACTTCTATTT